GGGGTGGAGGGTGTGCGGAAGGGGGTTGGAGGGGGGTCTCAGGGCGCGGTGAGGGGACGGGCTTTGCAGGAAGTGGCGGGGGCTGAGGGGCCGGAAGGTGGCGGGGTGTGGCATGGAGCTGGAGGGGCGCTGGCCTGCCGGCGGCGGAGGCAGGCAGGAGGAGGCAGGCGGCCGCCACCGAGCCGCGTTGCGTGCGGAGCGGGCTGGGTGGATGCGTGGGAGGCCAACCGGTCGACCCTCTTGAGAGCGCTCCGGCTCCCGCGGATGTCGTGGCCGGGGGTGCCTACAAAATGCGCAAGGCCCCACTCTCGCGCAAGGCCGCCGTCAGCGCCTGCACAAAATCCCCAGAAACGCCCTTGAGGCACTCGAGCTCGCCATGTGTCACGTGTCAGGGCGACTTACTGCCGTCACGCGCCCCCGCAGGCTGCTGCTGCTGGACGAGGCCACCAGCGCTCTGGACGCCGAGAGCGAGGTGAGCGCGAGGGCGAGCTCGGATTCTAAGGGGGTTGCCGAGGATGTTGGGGGAGGGGTGCCGCAAGGACCGGTCCCGCCTCAAGAAAGGGCTAGCTCGTTTGCCACGGGCGTGCACGTTGAAGCATGTATGTGTGAGGTGCCGAATCCAGTTGCTTTGCCTGCGCGTCAATGGACGCCCCCCTGCCGCCCGGCACCCTCGGGGTGTGTTGCCCTCATCAACACTGTGCAGCACCTGGTGCAGGAGGCCTTGGAGCGGGTGGCAAGTGAGCGCTTCGAATGGCAGCCGCATGCCGTGCGCGACTGCAAGGCTCAAACCCCTGGAAACTGATTCTCTGTGCCACGCACACTCCTTGCTCCTGGATTAACCAGTCCCCCAGCCAAGCCTGTGTGCCAATTTGCTAGCTTCCCCACTTGCACCGCAGCCAGCCAGATCGTGTTGGCCGGCCCTGCACGCTTTGAGCGTCGTGCCGCACCCCGAGACCGCATTCAACCCTGGTCAACTCGGTCAAACCTCGCAGGCGGCCGCACGGTCGTCGTCATCGCGCACCGCCTGTCGACCGTCACGACGTCCGACGAGGTGGTGGTCATTCAGGTGAGTCGGCCGCTTACTATAAGGAACCACTCGTCCGTAAGGGCGCTGCTGACGCGGCATAATATTTGCCAAGCCTGTGGGACACTCAGAGCAGTATCTGATGAGCCAGTGCAGCATAGATGGCCTCGGGCCGGCGCGAGTGCCCCGGCCACAGGATTTTTGGGCGTGATCCAGCAAGGCTTTAGGGCACGCCGCCAGGTCGCCTGCGCCTTGTGCAGATGATGGGGCTCTGGTCAATCTCTCATGTGCATGCACCAACTGCTTGTCGTCAGGACGGACTGGTCGTGGAGAGGGGCACCCACGACGCGCTGCTCGCGTCCGGCGGCGCGTTCGCAGCCCTGGTCCGGCGCCAGCTGCTCGGCGGCGGTGGCGGCGGCATGCCCGCGGCGGCGGCGGCGGACGGCAGCACTGGCAGCGGCGATGCGGCGGGCGGCGGCGGCGGCGCCATGGACGGCGAAGTGCGGGAGGCCCCGGGGCCGGGCAGGCTCGACGAGCTCAATTGACGGAGGGGGCTGGCCTGGCTGGCAGGATTCACCGTTGAGTCCGCACAATATAGAATATCAAGCTGGCAGGATGACTTGGTTGATTTTATGCTGATTGTTCTGGAGTCGCCATGATAATCTGTGTCTTGTGCCTTTGTTCACCATGTATACTCTGAAACATTCTTTTGCAAAGTGTTCCTATATATCGTACTTGTGATGTCGTAATGAGGCCATCATCGGGTTCATAGGCCGACTGGCTGCCAAGCCAGTGCAACGCCTCATCACGCTGCCGCTGCCATTGGCGGGACGCCGCACACACGCATCATGCGGAGCGGCCATGTGGTGGGCTGCTGGGTGCCCGCATGCAAATCCATGCGGTGGCCGTCATGGTGGTCAAAGTGCTGCCTAGGGGACGTGTTGGTTTTGAGCCTGCAGTTCACCCCTGCCCCTGCCTGTCCATAAGAGAGCTGCGCCACGGCCGGGAGATGTGCAGCTTGAGAAATCATGGCAGCGCAAGCACCCTGTTTGCAGGGCGCAGCAGGGGCCTGCCGGGTGCCGGGGTTGCACATGCAGGCCGAGGGAAGTACGGCTGAGGCCCGCCATGCAGCAGCCTTGCTGTCCCCCACTCAGGGCCTGACTCATTGTCGAAATGTCATTGTGGTAAAGGGGCGGTAGGACGCCATTTCTATCAAGTCATTGTGACGCGGTCATCACCTGCTTTTCTCATCTCCGCTCATCCGTCTCGCAGTATTCCGGGGAAGCGCAAATCCTCGACATAAAGGGCCTCTATCGCTCATTCCAGCACCATCGCTGACCTCGAATAAGTGCTCAAAGCGAGCTCACCCGTGCCCGCCGTCAGGTGCTGTCAAGACCCCGTCAGTTGCGGCCAGCTTCCAGCTAGCAAGCATGCACGCCCACCGCTCCCCGGCGCGCTTCGGCGCGCTGTTCCTGGTGTCGCTGCTCATCGCGGCCTGCCTGCAGGCGCCCGTGGCCTTCGCCCAAGACTATTCCACCCAGGCGCGGCGCCGCGCGCCCCCGCAGTCATCAGGCGGCGGCGACACTGGGGCCGAGGGCGAGCCGCCGCTGTCTTGCTGCGCCACGATCCGCTGCGCCGCTGGCTACAAATGCGTATGCAACGGCAACAGCGGCGGCTGCGCGCCCGACCCCGCACACAGCGCGCCCGAGCCCCAACCCGGGCGGCCCCCATTTGGCGCTCCTCCAAAGTGAGCACTCTCTGGGCACCTGCGGTGGTCGTGCCTATAAATCTGACGCGTGGAATTCAGTCCTGAAGGCATTTGCAGCAGCCGCTTGCTAGGGCGGGCCCGAGGGCCGCGTTCCGAGGGCGCGCCGAGCCTCCCGAGGCCCGGGCCCGTGGTTTAGGGTCCAGCGCGGGCGCTCGCCTCGGCGGCCCAAAGGCGCCCCAGGGGACGCCATCGGCGGCGGGATGCCGCGCTGCCGCTTGAGACGGCGGCCCGCCTCAGCCCTGGGTATGTACCTGTCGACTAAGACGTAGTGCCTGCCCTGCTTCACCCCCAGTTCCCCTCTGAACCTGCTGATGCGGCTCCGGTCCTCCGATGTATGTTCTTGCCACTTTCAGGGGCCGGCCCACATGCGTCTGCAACCTGCTGTGCGTGATCGGCAAGAGGTGCATCTGCGCCGACGGGCTCGCAAAGTGCGTTTAGACCCCCCAAAGCACCACCTGGCGCAGCTGCGGGCGCACAGCGTGCGTTGCAGACGGTGTTCTGGCGATTTGAGAGGGTCCAACGGCCAGCTACGTACCCACAGCCGCGCGTCACAGTGCGCCTTCATCGGCGGGAGGGGGTTTTGTCGCCTCAGGCTCAATGATGGCTGCGGAGCATTACTTGGCAGCAGCTGCCGTTGACTGCCTATTTACTCACTAGTTGCACAAAATTGGTGTGTGTGGACGAAGTTGGAGCAGAGATCAAGCGGCCGCTCAATGCAGGCCTGCCATTTGCCGGCTACTTCAATTTTGCTGTGCGGCGTCAGCAGTCTGGCGGCCAGTTGAGCCCAAGCACAGGGTGTCGGTGCGTGTGCCATTTGTTGCAAGCATGGCAAGACACGAGTTGATGCTGCTGGCATTGCTATCACATGTCTCAATGGCCGGAGCCCTTGGTACACGTGTACGCTAATGAGATATCAACATTGTAACTCATATACGCATGATGTTGTTGCTGTTGAAGTTCTACAGCAGAGAAATCAGTTGCATGCAGGCGCTGGCCACTGAGATTCAAAGATGCCTGTGATGTCATCATCTGCCCAGCTCAAAATGTGTGAGAAAGCCACAGATCCTTGGGTCTCGCCCCGTGATCTCGCCCCGTGATGCCCCGTGATCCATAGCGAGTACATGCCCCTCAGTGAGCGCATGCGTGGTAGAATTGTGCGGCAATGCCCCTGATTTGATTTCGTGATTCGGAAAATTCAGCTACGCGTCCACACGGCAATTTAGTAAAACATACTGCAACAAAATAATGCCCTTTATATGGCACTACTTGGGCCTCGTTGGCAGAGGCCGGGGCGCCTCCCCGCCATCCCCTTGCGCGGGCAGCGGCGAGTGTGCCACTGGCAGCGGCAACGGCGCCCTCTCTCGCTCCACGCGCGACGCGCTCATATCAGTAGTCAGGGGCGGACCAGCGGCGTCCACAGATGCCCTCAAACCCCGCGTGGTCACGGGCAGCGCCGTAGAGTCTGAGTCAGCACAGCCGGCCCCTGCACCCTGTGCGGCCGGCGAGCTGGTCCTTCGCCCCACAACAACTGACGAGGTGTCTCGAGCAGTGTCCATCTGCGCCCAGGCGCGCGTGCCGCTGACGGTGCGAGGGGCAGCAGCAGCCGCTGCTACCGCTGCTGCGGCCACGGCGGAGCAGCGGCCGGCGCAGGCGGCGCAGGTGGCGCAGGACAGAGTGGTGCTCGATCTATCATCCATGGCGGGGGTGTTGGAGGTATGTCAAGTGGGCGATTAGTGGTGGACAGACGTAGTGCGGTGTCTCTGGGGCATCTCGTGCCGTGCGGCGCGTCTGCCCGGTGCATGATGCGGTTGGCAGGCGCAAGGGTGCCTCGGGGACACAGACGCGAAGCGATTTAGCTACATCATGGTGCACTCCACTGGCAAGGAGACTGTTGGCAATTTCCTGCGTGTCAAAGGACTGGGGCATGTACGATCGGCATGCAACTCGAGCTGATTACGGGTGCATTGTGCGACGCTGCGTTTGCGCCGCTGATCCCTGCTCTGCACAGATCAACCTGGCGGCGTGCGAGTGCCAAGTGCAGCCGGGCGCCACCCTGCAGCAGCTGGGTGCAGCCCTCGCCCAAACCGGCTTCTGTTGTCCTGCAGTCGCCGGCCCTTGTGACCCGATCGGCTCCCTCGCGGCGAGCCGCGACGCAGCGGTGCGCGAGCGGCCGCCGCCTGCTGCTGTAATGCTGCCTGGCGTGCTGACCCCGCGCGTAGGGCGGGCGTGCGCGTCCAAGCAGCACCAACTGTGCTGCACGCGGCGGGTGGCACTTCTCAGGGTGTGCACGAAACAACCTCTCGCCTCAGCCGCCCGGCCCACTGCTGCCGACATACTGCCGACCCAACTGAGGCAGCCAGCCGCTCCCACTAACCAGGCAGACCCCCCCTGCTGGTTTACCGCAGGTGCTCGGCGCCACGGTGGTGCTGCCAGACGGCCGCATCGCGCGCGTGGATGCACGCGCCCTTGGCGCCGCCGCCGCCGGGGACGCGGGGCTCGGCATCATCACAGGTGCGGCGGTTGGTGTCGCCTGCGCAGGCTGTGGCTGGGGTTTAAACACTCACAGCTGGCGAGGCGGCAGAGTTCAAAAACGATGGCCTGACCCTACTTGCTGCCGACTGATACAGCAGGCCCTGAGGGGATTCCGGGGCTCGCCACTGGCAGATCCAGGGGCGCCCCGCAGAGTGCGTGCGGTGTGACCAAAATGTCGCAGGCCGCTCCTCAGCGGCCTTCCGCCAGCGGCACGTTCCGCCCCAGCCACGTCCTTTCGCGCTCACCCTGCCCCCCTTGGCCCGCCTGCATCACCTGCCCTTGGCACCCCTGCATCACCTGCCCATCTCTTGCAGAGCTGACGCTGCAGCTGTGCGCCGCGTCTGATTGGGTGTGGCAGGGCTGAAAGGGCGGCCGCCGCCCGCCTGCGGGGTGGCTGTGGGGCTGAGGCGGTCGCCGTGGAGTTTCGCCTCAGGTGCTGCTCGAACAGGCAGCCGCTTCACTGACTGTGGGTCCGTCAAGACTACCGTGTGGAATTCTGCTGTTGACTGTGCACCTTGCAGTGCTCTATTCTTCCTCGACATACGCACAACTACAGTAGGCATTTTGCCAGGGTCCCCAACCCCTTGAAACTCCATGTGTGCGTTTTTGCACTCATATGTCATCCGCTGCATCATGGGCATGCCAAAGGGTAGTGATGTGTGGTGTTTTGTTGATTCGGCAAGCACTGCGCCGCCTCAGCATCCATGACACAGGCGTCGACGTCGCGGACGCGTTCGCTTCTCGGGGCGGCCGCTGTGGCGACATGTCTTGGCGGTCCTTGGCTGCAGCCACGCGCGGGCTATAGCATACCTTTGAATTGCGTGAGTATACCTGTGTCATTTCTCCATTGATTCATCCTCTTGCCCCTCTCACTGCGAACCTGGGTTACACCCCGCTCATGGATCGCGCCACAACACGTGAGGTTTGGCTTGAGGCAAAGCGCTACATATGTTCGAGCGTAAACATCTTGTTAGGCAGCGCTGCGGACGGCACATGTGATCAGCGGGACTCGCAGCTTGGCATCAAGAGCGCGCAGCTCTCGCTGACCATGGCGATCGTGCTGCTGGTGCACACCGCGGCCAGCTTTGTAGCAGGATTCGTCACGGGCAGGCTGTCGAAGCGCGGGCGCCACGCCGAACATCTCGAAACCGGCGCGGAGCGCAATGGCAGCAAGCATGCATCACGCGGCCTCAGCTCGCTGCGGCAGCCAGGGCGCACGGTGTCCATCGTCACGACCGCCGCGCTGCCTTGGCGCACAGGTGCGGCGTGGCAGGGCGTCGGCATGCGTGACGCGCCTTGGGGTGGGGGGGTCGGGCGCACGGAAGCTGCCGCTGTGGCCAGCCGCGCCAGCTGTCACCAAAGCGCATCATCGAGGTGCCCAGGCGCCGCACCCGCCATGCGCCCGGCCCTCGGCCCCTTCCCCCAGCGCCCAAATTGCATGGCCAACTGCAACGACTCCCCCTCAGCAGCAACCAACACCATCCCTTGTCAATCTCAATGTTGACTCGCACTGCCCTTGCTGTGGCCCCCCGTGCGGCGCGGCTCCCACCCCCGCGGCGCGCCGCAGGCACCAGCGTCAACCCCCTGCTGCGCGCCGCCCACCTGGCCACCGAGAAGGACCGGCAGGTGTGCCTCGTCAGCGCAGAGGCGGCGGCGACGCAGCGTCAGCGGCGGCGGCGGCCTCCTTGATACAGCGCTCGGCGCCCCCCCGCCCGGCACGCGCGCGCCCGTCCTAAGAAACCCGCCTGCCGGGGCCACGCGGCGCTGCGACCCTCGATTTCCGCCGCCCGTCACGGCTGACCTGTCACCCGTCACCCGTCACCTGTCACCCATCATCCGTCCACCTGGCGCAGGTGATCCTGGTGATCCCCTGGCTGGAGGAGGAGGATCAGAAGCAGATCTTTCCGGCGGGGACTATCTTCAAAACAAAGGAGGAACACGCAGAGTTTGTGCTGCGGGAGGCTAAGGAGCGGACGCAGTTGCCGTGCGACTTCCGGGTGCTCTTCTATGACGGTGCGGCGGGGCCTGGGGGTTGAGGGGAGGGGGGGATGGAG